TGACAATTAGTAATATAACAAAAAACCTTATGTGGATATACGAACATTACATGGACGTATATAGTCTAAATGGAAAGTGTAGGGTGATGTTAAGTCATTGGATGTTTGGGATGAATGAGATGGAGGCTGGTGACCAAGTTACTATTATTGTTGTAAATTGGTTTAATGAAGTTATAAAGGAGTGTGGGGTGAGTCTTGTGTATGATGAAGGAGAGAAGAAGGATGAAGAAGAAGATGTGTTGGGTTATTACAAGTCATGGAATCACATAATTGGTGGAGATCTCTCACCTTTTCAAACAACAACAGGACAATACATCCTAACCAACGACAGATTTTTTCTGCCTGGCATTAGAGTGTTTCCTTATCTTCGTAAATTCGTTGCACATGGCCCCGACTACCAAGGTAGATTTCATTTTGTTAAATATTTTATTGTCGGGTCTTATGTGTAATGATTTGATCCATGACCCAACTTCTTTAAATAGAAGGATAATGACCCATTTATTTTTAGTAGATAAATAAATGTCTCATGTAACCCAAATCCAACCATTTATCATTTCTGTTATTGACCTCTACTATAAGAGTTTTTTTTTTTTTTTTTTTTTTTTTATAAACTATGAATAATTAAATTTCTACTTCTGACTTTTAAATGATTCGACCCAGGTAGTGATCCGTCTGATCAAGTGTTGATATGTTGGATCACATAAATATATCGGGACCCAAGTACATTGTCCAAGTAGATGTTTGTGATTAAATATTGACATATTACTTTTTATGTTTTTTCAGAAAAAGAGGAAGTGTGGTTTAGAGCTTTTTCCACAAGCAACCCTCAGATACTTGGTCGTGCATGTGAGGTATACTTTTTGACACCCAAACTTTTCTCTCATCACATGAATAAAAGGCATACACATCCAAGTATGTTACATATCATATCTTTGACTGGTGTAGGATGTAACCCTGCAATTTTCATTTTCCTAAGCTTTTTGAATTTGAATAATTTTCTCTAAATTGTTTAGAGGAAACATTTGCAAAATGCTTATGGAGTTCAGTAACAGAAATATTAGAATTGCAAAAATCAAATACTTGATCCTTTGATGAGTTCGTTGATATCGGAATAGCGACCCTAAGGGAGACGTAGACTTGTTTATTAGAGTCCTCACTCCTCATTAGATGATGACCAGATCTCCACTTCAGTTGATATTTCTCCACCACATGTGTCCCACGTGCACTTTCTCATTCATCTCAGCTTCTTAATATTTCTAGAAATTATATGATCCATTTTTCATTACTTTTTTTTGCATTGCAATCATTGGAAAAATGATGTTTTTCTCCACTATATCTGTGAAATTTAACATCATCACTGGCTTTCTGGAAGGTGTTAACGAGAGGTTGTTGCTTGTAATCTTTTCTAAAAGATGATTTCCTCCGTTTGGATTCTTCATGAATTTGTGGAAGTTCTTTGTTAGAAAATCTAAAATTTCATCACGTTTTTTGAACCCAACTTTCCTCAGCCTCTATCTATGGTTATTTCACTACAAATGCACTGGGGTTCGCTTCATAGTTTGTATTTCCTCCAAAAAACATTGTATAACCTTGAATTCCCTCTAATAAATCACAATGGTCCACCACATTGTATTGGACTTTGAACAATCAGTTTTTGTGTTATGCTACTTCTCCATGAACATCATGTATAGTGATAAATTGCTAAGATCTTTAGATGATTAGATTACAATTATCATTGCTTTTCATTGACCTCCTAGGCTAGACATGAACTTACTATACAAGTCAAGGGTTTCAGTTAGTGCCTCTGCAGCTGATGTTTTAAAAGTGTTGTATTCGTTTAGGCCTTGTAGTCTTGTATTTTATGGGCATGTTCTGATCCTTTGATTTTATTCTTTATCATCTCCCACATTTATTTAGCCGATTCCCATATAGGTACAAACAAACTTAGAGAGATCTTGTTGTATTGTATTGCCATCATGTGTCAAAGTCGCTAGCTAGGGTCGAGTTCTCACCATGCCATGGAAACGTAGTCTATCACAGTGTCATGAGAAGTCGTTAAGTCTTTTGAATCAAGAAAATGTAACATAATATACATACTCCTAAGTAACTATATGTTTCGTTAGCATTTTGTATTAAATTTTCTCTATACGTTGTGAGATTTTATATTTGTCTTACACTTCCTTTAACCATAGGGTAAGGGGGAATCTTCAAGGTCTGGTCCTTGACATGAAAATGCTTGGGAAAGAGAGGCTACAATACATGGCTGTTCTGAATTCAAAATGGATGCATTTAGTAGTAAGAAAGGTGACCAAATGCTACTGTAACTCGATCGCATGAAACTCAATGAGTTATATCCTAATTATTTTCCAAGAGAATTAAGATGGTTTGCTTGTTGTCACCTCTAGTAACGATTTATGTTTTCATTCTTTGTTTTGATAATTGTATCTTTGATTGCCAAAAACAGGGGAAAACAATATGAATGTATTTTGAGTTAATTAATACACATGTAAGCAATATGATATAAGTCGTAATGTTGTTTTTATTACTTTATATATATATTTTTTATTTGGTTCATGTGATTGCTGAGTTGCCATGATTCTCACTGTTCAATGTTTTGCTGCTACTTGTTCAGTAATATGAAATTTGAAGTTATATAACTGGGAAAGTCAACTCTGTAGCCACAACCTTTTCCATTTCCTTGCTTCTCTTTTGGTCATAATGTTGTTGCCTATACTTTGTCACAATTAGTTTCCATTTCCTTGTTCAGTAATATGAAATTTGAACTTATAATGTTGTTGCTTATACTTTTTCATAAATTTTTCACATAAATTTGAACTTAGTTACCCAAATAACAATTCCTAACTGGCAAAGAAAATGACTTGTTACCCAAATTAACAACATTAAACAATAGGTGGCTGCACAAAATAATATAAAACGGTACCTGATGTGCTTTGAGCTCCTTGGTAAATGCATCTATCTGGAAAATTCCTTGCATTTCAGTTCTACTATTAACATTTCATTGTGGAATTTCAGCGAACACTTGGTGCTCATAAAATTGAAAGGATTAAGATTAGCAAAATTAACCTATAATAGAACCAGTAACCACCTAAAGTTAACAGAAATTCGATGTTCTATATTCTAATTTAAAAATTCAAACGGATGGATTAACTCTGGAAGAGCGATGGTCTTGCTAAGTAGATGAGCGTTGAGAAACATACCTGAAATGAAATCGAAGCAAAGGAAGAAATTGCAAGTATTGGAACCTTATGCTGGTATACATACATGTGTTGGAGCAGCGCCGACAGCAGACGGAAGGCAATGTAACGATGGTGGCGGAGGTCGTTGCAGATTGTGAACAGAGGAAATGGTGGCGAGTTTGTACGTAAGGGAGATGAGAGTTCTATGTAGTTCAAAGTAAGGGTATTGTTGTCATTATCGTTGTCATTTCAAGTTGATAAATTATCCAACCAAATAGAATTAATATACGGAAATTTAGACTTATATAAATGAATGTTTTTTTTTTTTTTTTTTTTAATTTTTTTTTTTTTTTTAATTTTAATTTTTTTTTTATAGAAAAAAGTAACCAATTTTTTTATTTTTTTTTCAGTTTTTTAAAAGTATCTATTTTCTTCCAAATGTTTCATTACGGACTACTTTTCAATTTTTTTTCCGAAGAATGATGCACTCTTGATCTTCAAATTGAGTAAATTTTTTGAAAGAAATAAGGGCTAATGCCATAAAAACCCCAAATTTTCAAAAAATATTCGGTTATGTCCTAAGTCTATTTTTATGTCCATAAAAACCACACATTTATGCAAAAATTGTTATAGTTGCCCTTTTTTTCAATTTTACCCTTCTCCATGGCCGTTTTTAGCAAACATCCCCTAATGCCACAGAAGGGTAAAATCGGAAAAAAGGGAAACTATGACAATTTTTGCGTAAATGTACGGTTTCTGTGGACATAAAAATGGACTTAGAACATAACCGAATATTTTTTGAAAATTTGGGGGGTTTTATGGCATTAGCCCAACAAATAACTCCATTTAATTCAAAATTTTCTATTTCAAAGTGTTTAATATCATTTTTTTTCAATAAAATGTTTGATTTTATGCACTAATATTGTATATGATATACAATTACTATTTTTTTTTTTTTAATATTTAAGTAAAAAATGATTTTTTTTCCTCGAAATTCCGGATTTGTTCATCGAATTTCGAACTTATTCTTGAAATTCGGGGTTTCTTTTTGATATCGGAAGTTTTAGTCCGGGATGCAAAATGTCTTTCAAGATTTTGAAACCTACTTTTTGTCTGAAAAAATATTTTTCTTGGTTTAGAATGCCTATTGCGGACAAAACAATTTTTTTTCTTGAAATTTCGGATTTGTTCATCAAATTTTGGGCTTATTCTTGAAATTCCAAAAAAAAAAAATTTCGAAATCTGAAATTTTAGTTTGGAATCCAGAATGTTTTTACAGATTCTGAAATGTTGTTTTTTTTGTGAAAAAATATTTTTCGTTGTCCGGACCAAATGGTTATTTTTGCTAAAAACAATTTTTTTAGGTTATTTCACATTAAAATTGTGGGTAGAATACTTAATTTCCCATTAATATATCCCAAAAGTTGATAATTGTCGTGAGCTAGTTCATACGTGTGATCATACATTAAGCAAATAGGGTGTAACATTTTTGGAAGTCAAAATCTAATTATTATAATTTTTAAAAGTGAAAGATTTTTGTGCCCGACACTCTAGTAAGGGTTGCCTTCGTTGCCGTATTCAACAACATTATGTTTATTTATTTATTTGTTTTTACATAATAAGGATTGGTGTGTCCGAATAATAAAAAACCCTTGAAAATGGTAAAGAGAGAAAAAAACGTTGCGGTATTGCTTTGACAAGCGATAGGCTTACTGCACCTACCCACCCCAGATGACTTTGTGTTCACAATTGTATCGCGGTGACACATAGGCATCGTAGGGTGCGATAGGGTGGGGAACCGACCGACTTAAGTTCTATATGATTCACTCTCTTTTTCAACAAGGTATGCCCAACTAATAACTTTCGGCATGCAAAATGGCATATAACAACCCTGGATAATACTAACCAGGCAATCACAGGGAAAGTAAACAGAATATAATGTCTTACTTATACGAACACATGATTCAAAAGCACGTAAATACCAACAAGAAGACACGAGGATAACAAAAGATAACATACCCGCGATAGCATCTGATGAAACTCTGGCCTCCCCTGCTTGAAGTTGCAATGCTTGGCTCCTCACTACTGCGACTTTCATCTTGGCCTCATGATCGTCATTGATCATCAAAGTAACTGGAGCAGGTGCACTTACTGCTCCACCCATCAACCTCGGATAATCGGCCTTCTTGTGGCCCACTTGGTTGCAGTGAAAAGACATCAGAACCAATCCAAGAGGGCGATCCCTACTAAAATGACCCATCTGATTGCAACTGAAACACCCTCTCATGTCTCCCAACAGCCTCCCTCATGGGTTCTCCCACATTTGGCACAACGGCCCTGACCCTGATGGCCTCCTAGATGCGAATGTTGAGTCTTGGGCCTCTTTGCCTGGCCCACTGTGATTTGAATCTACCCTGACTTCCTCTTTCCGAGGTGCTCCAAATCAATCTCCCGCTCTTGGGCTCTAGCAATCATGTCATTTAGGGTCTTGCAACATGATAAGCTTACAAACTCCCTTATGGCATCCCTCAGCATAACATGACACCTAAACTTCTTCATCTCCTCGTTCGATTCATACTATAGACCAACAAAGCCCTCTCCCAAAACTTGGCAGTGATCTCTGCCACAGTCTCAATAGTCTAGCAAAGGTCCTGAAACTCTCTCGCCAGTTGCTAGACCTTAATTTTTGGTGCAAAATCCTCCATGACAAACTCCTCCTAATACATGGACACCACATCTGCAGATCTCAGTGTCGTACCGACCTCCTCCTACCAATCATGGGCTCGGTCCCTCAAAAGACAAGATGCAAATCCCACATTCACCCGCGCGGGTTAGAAGCTCGTCCCCCTGAGCATTCTCCATGTTAGCGATCCATCGACGGCTGGTAATGGGGTACTTAGCCCAATGAACTCTGGAGCTCTACAAGCCTTGAACTCCCGAGATGAGGGAGACCACGCTCCCAAATGTCCTATCGCGATCTTGACCTGAAAGGTCATGATTTGCTCATCCAGCAACTCCGTAATCCCAATGCGGTATGCATCCTGACGCTCCTGTATAATCTCCATGATCCCTTCCTTGATCATACCAAAGATCACAGGAGTCTGCTCCAAAATATTGTGGGTGATCTCCGATGATATGAACTCCCGCATCCGCTTGTCTATCGGCTCAATACTAGCGCCTGAGCCTAAACCAGATCCCCCTCCACGAGTTCTCATCACCATACTGAAAAGCAACCGTATAATAATCAGTTCATACCCATAAAAATTCTAATCCTGTAAGCTTCTTAGAATTTCCGTGACCATCCACGATTCAAGTCTGGAACCTGTGCGTTTAGTAGTACGAGCCCAATACTACCTTCCACATCTATCCATACTTTCTTCAAAAATTATCTCGAATCCTCTAAGTCACATTCTCAAACCGGTACTCCAAGTACATGCTAAACAATGCAACCAAACCCACTAAAGCACTTCCTAGGATCCTCTAGGTTTCCGACCACACTCTGCCATCAGTTGTTGAATAACTCCTACTAATGTTAGCTAACTACTTCATGAATAAATTCACATGCCACAAATCTTAGATAATCCTTCGAGTAAAATACATAATCCTACAATAGTTCGACTCAAACGAGATCTGTGCAATAGAGTCAAATTCATTACTCTGAGATTATTTAACCTTTGCAACATGTGACTTACCATATTAACTTAATAGTTAACTCACATCACTAAGGGTTCCACAAAGCACAAAGAAATCTACATGCATGTAGTAACACTCCATGCCACAAAACAAACAAAGGGCATCTCAAGCTCACTTAATACTACCATGCTAGGAACTTCTACTCCACTGTCAGTTGCCTTATGCATGCAAATTATACACAATTCATGATCAGATAGATTATCAAATAAGAGACTCTAGCCTAGGACCACAACCATACAAAGAACAAGAAAATAAGTCTAATATAGTCATTTTGAGGCTATATGATCCTAACCGTATACAATTTTTATAGCATACACTTAGCAATTACTGCTACCAATACATATTCCCAATCTAGTATAACATCTAATGCTTCCTAGGCTACAAGGCATCACATGTCAGGTCAATCTATCATGTAATTCCTGAAAGTATCCTTAGCCTTATCCTAACATGAAAACATTCATATCATATAACATATAAACATGTATGGGTATTTTGGGAATCACTTACTTGAGCTCGACCGATTACACGCATCATACCCCCTTTTTCTATAAAAAAAAGTCTTTTTATAAATTGGTTTTCTTTTAAAAGATTACCAACTCCTTAGTTTGAGTTCAGTCACACCTAAGAGTGTGCCCGAATCCCTCAACCCAAGGCTTTGTTACCAATTTGTAACATACCAAAAATTATAAGGT